TTCCCCCGCCGTGGTTTTCTTGGTACCCCGCTCCTCTGGGGGATCCGTGACCACGGCATAGGAGCTCACCATAGAGCCCCTAGAGCAGACGAAGAACGTCTGTTCTTCGTCTGCTCTGTGTGATCACTCAGACTGTGGCGCTGTAATTACAGCGCCACCTGTCTCAGCTGTCACGAACTACAGCTGCTGTCACAGAACCTCCCTGCGTCCTATGGACCGGTGCGCCTTATGGAGCGCAAAATACGTTATATCTTTGTCCTATTATGATTATATAGGATTTATATAGTGCCAACAGTTTGCGCAGCGCTTTACAATATAAGGAAGACATTACATTCACAATTCAAGACAAGATGGTAAGGAGGGCCCTGCATGTGAGGGCTTACAATCTAAAATGGGTTGTTTGTTTACCTTGCCCAGAGATCAGCTTCAGTACTGAAATATTGAAAATGAGCAGGCAAGTCCTTTTAAAAAGGAGCGCGCTGAATAGTTGGTAAAAGACAGTCTAAAAATTGTAGGCGTCAGGCAACTGGCCTAATAGGAGGGAGGTAGCAGTCTCAGCCTTCATATTGTATTACTCAGGTTTCCTTTTTTTGGTGCCATTATACATTGCTTGTTGGCATTTTACACAGTTACTTATGATGCTGTTTAAAGTATAACTAAAGGCTTTGGATACAGTAGTGAGTGGTTAGAACCAGTCTGTTTTTTTTTTTGTTTTTTTTTGTCTGTTTCCCGTTCGGAAGATTCACTTACTCTAATTTTCCTTGATCACCGATGTCACTGGAAATGGAAGTGAGATAAACTTGCATCTGAACAGTAATAGAGTGGAAATCTTCTAGTAGGGACACATGTCCCAGTAACGACTGTCTAAAAGGGAATTTTCATAACTTTAGAAAGATATATCCTCACTTCCTGTTGAGTCTACAGGACAGGAAACTAAGGGGAAACTAATGAGACACAGATGACGAAGAAAAAAAAACTGACCGTGGTTTTAACCTTTCTATCCACCTATTCTTGCCAATTTATCCCCCATCACCAAAATCAAAAATCAGAACAGTCTCAGAGGAATATCTGGCCTAGGGATCCGTCTATGTCTGAAGCAGACATTTGTTATGATCTCTATCTAAAATGGGTGGAAAAGTTTTGGCGTTAGATACATTTTAGGTAATGCACAAAATCAGAGTTTTTAAAATATGTTTTGCCATGCATAGATTTCCTATAAACTTATGGTTTGTTTCCTCCGCAGGAGCTTAAGAAATATGGGGTCACCACTGTAGTGAGGGTCTGTGAAGCTACCTATGATAAGGCTCCGGTAGAAAAGGAAGGCATCCAAGTGTTTGTGAGTATTTACTGTTTCTTATCATACTATTGTTTAGACCTCTTTCAAGGTGTGTTTTATTGCAGCTAGAAAATACTTATTGAACGAATAGTGGTATGTGCCAGCTGTCTTTAATCATAATATTAAAATGTTCTGAATGGCACTTAGCTCTGTAAATTCGTGTACCGATATTGTAGGAGGAAGAGGGCAATTCCTTTTACCAAGAGACCTGTCTGGGAAGACGAATGCATGCAAACCAGTTTCTGGCATTGGTATCTTCTATCTAAATGGAAAAGCATGCCCCATAATGTTCTTATCTGGGTAAAATATTGTTAACCTTATTAACTAGTTATCTTTCTGATCTGTTGCTCCTCTGCAGGTTTGCATGGCCAGCTTTGTTATTCGACTATAGAGTTGTATGAAGTGAACCTGATAAAGCTTCTTCAGAAAAAAATTCTTCAGCAATTAGTACAGTGGCTGATAATTCTCTACCTGTCCTATTTCCTTGCTGTGATGTGTTTAACAATCATTGTCACTTAAAGGAGAACTATGAGGTGAGTGCTTTTCACTCACCTCATAGTTCTAGCCGATCTGTGACAATGAGACTGCCACAGGTCGGCTCAGTAGATCGGGAAGTGAGCGAACACATACCCGGGTTCGCTCACCTCTCGATCCTGTCACAGCTCCCTGCCGTGACGGGAGGGGCTGGATTTCCCCCTCCCTGCTCCGATCCACCATCGCTGACTGGCGGATCGGACGGGGGAGGGGGCGGGTACAGCTGGCTCTGCCTCTAGATAGGCAGAGCCAGCTGTCACTCATGCAGCTGGGCGGATCCAGACATAATTGTCGGGATCTGCTTCAGCTGCGGCGTCTCAGTATACCGCGAGCAGTAGCTCGCGGTATATAGTGGCATCTCGGTATACCGCGAGCTGTAGCTCGCGGTATACTGGGCTTAGGGTGACGGGAGGACGCTAGTTTGTGTCCTCCCGTTACCCTAAGAGAACTATGGGGAAAAGCCTTAACCCCATAGTTCTCCTTTTAATGGTCATTCTTATTGAGAGGCAACTTGGTTACGAGGCTAGTTTGGCTCCATCCATACATTGTGCTTCCAGTAAGCCAGTAATGGTCAAGCACCAGAAGGGCATAAAAGATTCATCATGAAGGGGGGGTGAGGGTTGGCGATTATGGCAAAATCTAAATCCGGTAGTGGAAATATCTGGGTTCCTCAGCATAGCAGGGATGAGGAACCCAACAAAGTGATACCAGGAACATGCTGTGATAGACCTTTCCTCTAAATATTTTCCACGTAGGGCTGCATTTTCATAATCGATCGGGTAAAAAAAG